TATCGAGGCATCTTACAAGAAACATTTTGGGGGCACATGAAAGGCCACCATCCAGTGATGGGAATAAGATAATGACACGCCGAGGCGTCGCCTGTCCGACATAAAGCATCCGTATGGCATGATGATCCACCAGCATAACCTCAAGCTGACAGAAGGTGCAATCACAACCTCCAAAAATGTTAACACAAACTGTAGCCTAAAACGTATCATTTACATTGGAAGAGGTCCTATATCGGAAACACGCGATAATCTACAACTGCATGATACGATATTTATTGTGTAAGTACTTCAATTAGTAACATAGTGTAATGAGCAACTAGTCGGTTTATTTACAATCACCTGCACTGGATGAGCAATTGCAAGTATTTAATCAATTGATTAGTACGGCTGGTATCTAAAAACATTTAAGCGTACAATGAAAAGACGTAGGCTGCGTTCTTGGAGGCAGCCAGTCACTGTAGGGTAAACCTAGCGAACTTTTCTTTGTCATAAAGCGGAACAAATGCAAACAGCCCAGTTGGGTGGTTGACCAGAGACAGCTAACGTCACCTCGTCATGGTAAACCAAAATAGAAGATAAGACCTGGCTGCAGGGGTTCCGATACACAGGAGCCAAGTTCTTAATTAAGATTCCAGAAAAGGAGCAAGAAAACGCACCTTTTCGGTTAAAACTGCATTGTCAGAGAAGCGCTCGGAAATCGGATAGTAAAGCCTAGATTTTGATTGAGCCTTACAACCAGCATGCGTTTCGTCTGCAGGTGGAGGAGCTTATTCGTTTTAGCAAATGTAGTAATACTTTTAGACACCTGTTTGCGGTCACCTGCTCTCCATATACCCCACTGCAAGCAGTAAATAGATCAGTGTTGCTTAGGCGGGTAATAGGTCGTGAGGGGGATATATTTACACAGCGGATATTTACACTTTCAAGATTGGAAACTGCGTTTAGACTGGATTTCATCAAGTATTTGCTGGAGTTCGTCTTCGGGGAAACGGGGACTTTCGAGACTTGGAATCAGAGCCCGGGCTTCCTCTGCAGTGTCCGGCAAAAGATTTGCGATTGCGGCTAGTTCGAAGTTATGAAACCTTTTCTGAACTAATAGACTATGGGAAGGTCACACTAATAAGAGTTTACCTGCGAACACTGTCAATCGTTTCGCGGTTATTGAACTTCGAAAACTGTGTTGTATAGTTCAAGGCTTTAACAAAGTTGTTTGACAGTTCGAGTTCGTGGACAGGATTATTTTCGTTTTGTTCCTTCCTTACGTAGGAAAATCAGTCAACAAATGCTGATAAGCATACCTGTGCTCAAGAAGGAATTTTACTTCGGAAATCATCAACGTGTCAGCAGTTTCAAATTCTTATTTGTAAAAGTAAAGTAAATCAAACGCGCTACTTTTCGGGAACTTCAATTTTGTGGCGTCAAACTCATCCGCAACTGCTCTCATCTGCGACATTTTTCGCTGATATTTTGAAACGGGCGGACACCAGATCGGTCTGGTCTAATAAGCCCAATCTTGGCATACCGATGAAGATAAAATCTATTCGGGTTCACAATGAGTGCGCTC